GTGCCATTTTTTAATTGGGTGGGACCCATCACATTTGTGAATAACCTGTTCAAATGAATCGTGTTGTATAGCACTTCTCGTAATTTAATTGTTATTATCAAGGATGTTTTCTGTAATAGAACTGTTAAACTTTGAAGATTGTGAACAAATAGTACAATTCATCCTAATTTTAAAAAGAACTGACCGTGGCATCCATTGCCATGATCCTTCCTTGCAACCACAATTATATCATCCAAAACGGCCTCCAAAATTAGTAGTTGAATAAGAATCGATGCAATAAATATTATTTTGATATGCATAATTAGGGGAAATAGCTTTCTGTTGAATGAAAAACTTATATATACTATCCACTTTAATTTACAATAAAACTATCTATCCAGTATTATCTCTTATTGTTTTATCTAATTTTATACCTGATTTCTTATACAATCTAATCCAATATGCAGTTTAAATGAATTTAAAAATAATATACAATGATAAGATGTGCTAATTTAATGGTTTACTAAAGTAAATCATTCTATCGGACGACAAAATAGTTGTTGCGTCTCAATACTCCATTATTTATTGAGTAATGCTTGGGGTACATAGTGGTGTCCATAATGTCCAAGTGACGAGCCCCCTCTGTGATACCGCGGGGGGGGGGGGGCACTTGGGCATTATGGACACCATTATGGTGTCCATTATATTCGAGTAAAAATAATCCTTATTTTTAACATTTGGGTTTGGCATTCCAAATTTTATGTTCATTTTAAAAATTTTATTCGAGAAATGAAGAATAAGAGAAAAATTAGAATTCTTTAAAGTGATATAGTTGAAGGTGATCTGCCAAAATCATTGAACTTCATAAATTTGTATATGCAGGCCCTCGTAATTATATCCATAAATGATTTGTTTTATATGTACTCCATTGCATTTCTTCTTCTGAGTTAGAATAAATATGTTTTCAAATCTTCTTTTTAAAATCCGGCCCTTGTTTGATCCACATTATTTTCAAATACATTTCTCTCTTTTTTTAACTACATTCTTCAATAAAATAATATAACGAACAAATTCAAAACTTTTTCTTATTTTTAAACCACACATTCCCCATCAATCTGCTGTTCAAAAAATGCATTCTTAGCAAAACAAGGGGGAGGTTCAAACAAGTGCTCAATTTGGATGATCGTGCACGAATCTCATCAAACAATTGTTCTGATTCTACATATTGATCGTTTTCAACTAAAAGAAAACTTTTTGATGGAATATTTACATTACATAAAATAACCTCACTCTCGATAGTTACATACAAGTCTATAGAACATTTTGCAGTCCAGCGAATAAAGAAGAAATTGTATCCAAAATGACAAAAATTGTATGACTACAAACAAATAAATATGATTTGATCAGATAACAATTTAGTACGAAATTGGAGGTACGAGTAATGAATTATTTTACACAACGAATATTTTCTTATTAGTTGATTGCTTATTTATAAATCTTTCATATTACTTTGCCATATCAAATATCATCAATGCAAACTTCTATAAAACAAAACATTTACGAACCTATTCGCTCTCACAAGAATTTTGCAATAGTATATTTATGCGCTAAGTTTGCATTAATGATTCTGATGCGAGATGAACTAATATTTGATAACACGAAATTCTAATATGAGCATCTTTGTGCAACTTCAAGAATGCCTCACATTGCATTTCTTGAGCTTAAACCTCAGTTTAAACTCAGTCGTGATCTAAATTTAAAGTAACGTCGTTTTTAACCTTCCTGAGGATCTTCAATTATGAGCTTCTCGATTCCATATAAGGCAATAAATCCCAATGTCATGTTGAAAGCCACATATGAATAGATATATTAAGCACTAATGAATTGTGCTTACGAACAACAAGAATTTTTCGTTAATCGCGGAAGAAAAGTAGGTCGTTTGATGTTTGAAATGAACAACCAAAGACCTTCAAAGAAATAAAAATAAACAAAAGAAAGGTATTTATATTACTATTAGTACTTTAGCATTGAGAAATCCTTAACTTATACGAAATATAGCAAGTAAATGCTCAAGTTTTCATGTCCTATCCTAGTCCCAACTTTTACTTTGTAGTGCTTAGTTTTCAATCGACCGAAAAGCCAAATGAAGTTGTCATATTTGTTATACAATAAAGATTACCAAAAAAAAAAATACCGTAATACTTTGTTTAGTAATAGTTATATGCTTCATCCGCCCTTTAAAAAACAAAAAATAAATAAAAAGTGATATTCAATATGAACAACAATGACTAGTTTTTGTAGAGGCAGATACTTCATCAATGCATATAATTTCTTTTGTCCCCTGCAGTATTGAACCAGCCCTTTCATCATTTACTTTCTTCATTTCTAAGTCTTTTTTACTGTTTATTTCATGAATTCTTCTAACCATTTGATGAAATGCCTCTTCCACATTGAAATTCTCTTTAGCAGATGTTTCCATGAAAGCTATACCTTCTAATTGTGCCAAACTTTGTCCATCTTCTGCATTGACTTCTCTTAAGTAACTCAAATCGGATTTGTTGCCAACAAGAATAATCACCATGTCTGAGCTTCCAAATTCCCTTACTTCATATAGCCATTTTTTCAGATTCTCGAACGTCGTCCTTCTCGTTATGTCGTAGACGAGCAAGGCGCCTAGCGCTCCACGGTAGTACGAACTTGTGATGGCCCTAAATCTGCACAAAATATTGTTTCTCATGTTAACAAGATTGCAGAAGCTGAGCAACTAAAAAACTATTCCTTGGGACATAATCAAATGACACAATTTAGTATTATTTGCATTTGAATGAGTGAAACATTTTAATACACGTTTCTTATGCAATATTGGATAGTTCTTTATATATTACAACTTATTCATTACCCAAACCACAGATTATACTTGAAGAGAAGTGCAAAATTGTATGAACATGATCCTCATTCTTTATCTTGAATAGGATTTTCCCTAATTCTACGAATTTCTCTAGAATACTCTTTTCTTGAATATCATTCAAAGAAAATTCAGATTTTACTCTATTCCGCTTTAGTAATCCAAGATTCTAAACTTCCACTAAACCCAAGAGAATCCCATCGGGCAAAAAACACTATAGATACAAAGATTTCAACTTTTTTTTCCCCCTAACTCTGCAAAAACAGACAAAATTGAAGAAGATAGACTATCCGTCTAATCATGGCCAATCCAGAGCACCAAAAACTGTAAAAAATTGTAAGTTTTCGGGTAATAAAAGAAGGGATTACCTTTCCTGTCCAGCAGTGTCCCATATCTGAGCCTTGATGAGCTTATCACCAACCCTGATATTCTTGTAAGCAAATTCAACTCCAATGGTTGGTTTGGAGTCTAAGTGAAATTCATTTTTGGCCAATCTTGAAAGAATATTTGATTTCCCAACTGCTGAATCCCCTATCAGAACCGCCTTGAACAGATAATCACACTCTTCATCAAATGAATTAACGGCCATGATCAACCACAAGAAAGGGGAAGCAAACCAGACAGAACTTTTTACTAGTTGGAAGATACAAGGAATGAAAATATCATATTTTCACGTCTCAATCATCTATATAAAGATAAAGCAAGTTCACAAGGACCTTTTTGGAATTTATATATTAAATGCTTCGAGGTATCCAATATTTATGATACGTTTATTTTGGCACATAAGGTTGTATAAAGAATTGACCATTTTTATTGTGTATCTATCTAAGAATTGACCTTTTTATTGTGTCTCTATCTTTATTTTTGATAGCTATGGGATTCAACATTCACTTGATTGTGAGTAGTGTGAATTTTCACCGGTCGAAACTCACATAAGAGATTGATTTAGCATAGAATTAATGATAATGTTACAATTCCAAATGGGAGCCCGTGATAACTTGGAACATCGAATACCAAATTTGATGATTTTATTCCGTTCATAATTTAGGTCGAGTCTGGTAATTATAGTATTTGCGGATTTGGACATGGAGGTATTGATTAATGCCATTTGAAAACATTGATAATGACACCATTGTTGGTCCTAATAGTTGTTGGTGTTATATTATAAACAAAGTAAGAAAGCCCACTAGACATGCATTTTGTTAATTACATTCTTAGTAACAAGTGCATCTCTATCTATCATGAAGGTCCAATGAAATTTTTCCACTTGGTAATGTACTTAGTGTCTGATTGGGGATTCATTAACTTCTTGTCACCAAACAGTGAGAATATAAGGGGGTTAATGGCATGTCAATTGTATCAAATAGTAATAAGTAGCTTAAGAACAAAGTAAGAATTGGATAATCATTCCTTACTCCCTCCTTTTGAAAAAATATGGTTTGATTTGACCAGTTTTAGGTGATGTGGCTTGTTGATGTCAATATCGAATGTCAAAATTCATTTGCTGTTATTTGTTAAAATTGCACTATGGAGATATCGAGAGATACTTGCCTTTCGAAAACCCCTCGATGTTTTCTTCAAGAATTACAGTACGCAGAAATTATAAACAGTGTTTTTTTTACACTAAATTAACAGAGTCTTAATTGGTTCGACTATCGTCTAGGATGAAGGTCTTTGAGAATGAATTTCTATACAAACATGTTTATGTCATAAAAATACGCTTCTATATTAGTTTGGAAAAAGAAAAGAGAATAATACAAGGGCAAAATGAGTAGGATTACTGTATTCATGTGACAATACCAATCATTATCGGTCTTCATGTCCAAAGGCCCGTGATAAATTGGAATCATAGGCTGAGAAAACATGAATACCCATCACATGTACAAATAAAATTACTTTTCAAGAGCCGGAAAATTATTGGCTCAATCCATGTGCATTAGCATTCAATCCGTGATTAGAATATATCTACTTTTGACTTGACAGTGAGAAGAATTGATATATAAAATATTATGTACCAAACCTTCATTTATTGAATAAACATGCCGAATTCAAGAGTAAGTTTCGCCCTGGTTTTACTGCATCCATTCCACTTTCATTTGCTGCATCCGAATACAAGTAGTAGAAAATATGAAAAGGATGGCATTTTCATATGAAAGATTGATATTTTTATCAAAATAACAAAATTTCAAGAAATGTTAACAGAACAACAAATGTTTATTTAATGGCTACAACATATTCATTCCTCTCTGAGTATCATAATCCGAAAAGTCTCCATTAGCCGGACCAAATGATGGTGCATTATAACCGTATACATCGAAAGCCCTATCATCAGAACTCATATAGCCACTCTCTCTTCCTTTTAAGCTTTGCATTGGTGAAGCCCAGGGACCTGGAGTCGAGACATTAGAGCTCGAGGCCTCTTGATTTAGATTTGGTGCGTTATGATCCTGGGGGGAATTTCCGGTAGTCCTTTTGTTGTTGGAATTTGATGTTGTCAGGGTTATAGATGCTGATTGCTGCTGTTGCATTTGCAGCTGGTTCTTCATGGGCGACTTTGGACGAAGAGCCTCTATTTCGGGAGTAGTCAGGACAAGGTGTGGTGCCTCTGGTGGTGGATTTCTTCCTCCCCCTCCTTGCCAAACTTTTCCATCCTTATCCATGAAACGCCTAATATATGCCTGAAAATCCCCAAGTTACATGTCAGCATGTTTAGTAAAGCTTAAAAAGTTCTAATAAGTAAATAACTGAGTTTTGAAAAAATAGACAAAAATTCATTAGTCAGATGACGAAAGCCAGCAACACACTCAAATCCCTTGAACATTGAACCGCTTGTCATATGGGGCACTGTAATTATATAAGAATCAAATGGACCCTTCTTATGTCATGCATGCTATTTACAATTGCAACAATAAGTGCATGTTTGCTACATAATACTGGACTGTAGAATTAACAAAATTTCTTCTTTAATACTGCCTGACGATATCCAATCCTCCATATACCAAAGTTGACATAAATGGCTTAAACAGTGATACCAAACTACTCTCGTTTACTCTCTTCCAACAGAAAATGAATAATAAAGGCAATCTGCTTTCCTATTTCACTATCCAATTTACCATAAAAATTTCAAGCGAAAGCTAGCAAATATTTACATTTTTACAATAGACATTTACTTTATATCAAGCCATCAATCTCAGCCTTGCATAAGCTTCTACTGTCATCTCGGAATGACACCAAATATCCTAGAAGATCAACCACTTTTAAATGCTAATAGAATTTCATTTCACGACAGTTTGTCAAAAAGATTGAGCAGAATGGATAGCACATATCATTCTTATATGGATAGCACATGCCATTCTTCTTACTTTTCCATTTCAAGAAGCCAAAAGCAGAAAAAATTCCCAATATTGAACAAACCGGCAAGTTTACCTCAGAATTAAAATTCGAGGAAGATAATCCTTTACCAACTGTCAACCAGCCAGAACGAATGTTATGATCTTCACCAAAAAGCTCAAGCCTTCTCCGTCCAAGAGCAAAATGTTCAATTATCCTATACATATCTTCAGGCTTTGAAGTTGATCCTGCAATATAATTACCAGTGAAGTTTATAATGCCAGTCAGAACCAACAGAAAATGTATATCAAGAGAGGATAGATCTCCACAACGTTCTAAAACTTATAACCCATTTTAGCCAACAAGACTGTACGAATAATTCTGTATGTGTTTGGATTACATGGAAAACATTCAGCTTGATGAATTGCTCATAATTACTTACTTAAGGGAATTTTTTTTACTTTTCCTAAGAGAACGACTTCTTCACTCTCACATATCAAGCTTAGTTTTATGTAATTACATTAAAAACCTGTGCTCACTTTAAGATACAAATTGGCAAACCTGGAAAAAAAATGTACAGGGACAGTTTGAAGCTTGCTAGATCTTAGCTTAGAAGCAAAGACAGGTATGGAACAATTAGAATTGTTTACTCTCAATTGACGACATGACTAAAATGAAAGATTTATTGTACCGTGGAAAACAAAAAGGAGGAAACAAAAAAATAGCAGTAGAAATAAAGTACTTGGTTTAAATTGGTAAAACTAGAAATCTTTGCATGGCTACTTTGAAGCTTGCTTGAATCTATTAAACACGAAGGCGGTAGGTTTGAAACATTTTCAATGCTTAAAACATGTGAATCTTCATCGTTGGCAAATTTAATAAATAGTGGAAGAATAGAGTAGAATATAGAAACAGAGAATATGATTGGAAGCGAGAGAGAAATATGTTTCCTTGTCAAAAAAGGAGCCTGCACGTTGATATAAAGAGAGAAATAACAAAACAGAGTATGACACTGTAATTCTACATTTCTCCGCTGAGTCTTAGTATGGTCAACAAACTGGAAGAAAAATAAAATGCTAAATGTTGTTCTATCAATTTCCGTCATATAACAAACAACAAAAAATTCTTGGAGAGAGTAGTAATGACACCAAAATCAATTGCAACAACTTAAGAGCGAATCATATTCTCCAGATAAAGCTACTAATTAGCTAATAATAAGAAAGCTGACCAGAGGAAGGTAAATTTTATAGGTGAAGAAAAGAACTAGGAAAGAAAAAACAAAGAATAGACAAACAGGTAATGTAGGGAATACTTGGCAAGTCAAAATTTCTATCTAGGATTTCCAGATTCAAAAATAAATGATAAAGAGGATTTAAATATAATACAAGTTCAAAGATAAAAATTCATAGTAGAGAAGGACTACTGACTTACACCAGTAAAATCCAAGGATACACGTACCATAAGGAGGCTCCTCAGCAATAATTACATCAGTGTCAATGTTGGCATGGATTACGTGACCATCAGTACTGCGACGCACTGTTCCTTTTATTCCCATCAAGCAGTGTTCCTTCATAATGATGACAAGGCAACTATCAGGACACTGAATAGCCAACATAAATATCTTTCCACGTGCACCAAAATATATAAATAAAATAGCAACGCAGAATCATGGACGTCAAAATGAATCATCATGATCTATTGCAGAAAAAGTCCCTTTCAAGCTCTTTAAATCTATGTATCATAAGTTGATTTACTCTACTAACAGATAAAACCCTTGGACACTGACATAGCTCAGCATCTGAGAATTAATATTTCAAACACTCAACTATTTTTCAAGATATGACCCATATTACTTGTATTCAGTAAAACAAGTAATGATTTGGAAATTGTTCAAAATTACGATCAGAAAGCAAAAGCAATGACACATGATAGGTTTTTGAGGAAGAGTTAATTATTCTTTAGTTTGAGGGATACTAAGATCTTATTCAAACTAAAGTTAAAGAGTTAGGGGTAGCAACAAGCCGAGTTGAGCTGGCCCAATGGGCTTCGCTCGTGGGATCGTGAGCCTTAAGGTGAAGGTGAAAATTAAGTATTTAAAAATTAAGTATTTATTTTTTCTTTAAACATTTATAAATTTTATAGCCATCCTTAAGACTTGCACCGCGGTAACTCCGAGAACCACACTTCTCACATTCTCAATCACACCTCCATTCATCATCAGGAATCCTATCGCTTCTTATATTTATTTGTTACAAAATCAAACATAGATCAATTCCCCTTTTGATTTGGGAGTACCAATAATCGTGATATTTAAGTAAACAATGCTTTTCAAGCTTTATAAATATGAAATATCCATTTGGAAAAAATACAATATTACATTCATTTAGAAACATACTATAATTAATGATACATAAATACAATATACATTTTACAAGTTCCCAACCCTCCTTCCGGGCTTGGGACCACTACATTAATCATCGTGTAATGCATCCATCACATTCAAATGCTGCAAAAGAAGCCTGCATTTGCAGGCTTCTTTAGGCCTGCTTGTAACAAGTCCACAAGAGCTGGCACGTGAAACTCACGAGCTCACGAGCCTTTTGAGGGCAGGCCCGTCTAGGCTCGCCACGGTACAAGGAAGCTCGTCTCGAGCCAGGCTGCTCACGAGCCAAGTCACAGGGCTCGTGAGCGGTGTGGGTCAATTGTCACCCCCAAAAGTAAAGCATAAATTTATGTGTTTACAATAATTTATTTTTTTTAGTGACCATGAGTATCCGGGCCAGCTTACAATATATTTACACTATTATTTACTTTATATGTCTTCGAATTAGAGAACAAACTAATGATCAATTAAATATTAAGTCATATTACTAGCTCCAAGGACTTAAATATAGGTTAGATTATATGTGAAGTTCTTTATTATTACATAGGCATTTAAAATAAGGTTATAAGAAACTCAAAGCAGCCTTTCTGTATATTGAACTAAATGAATTTCAATGATTTCTATCAATAAGGATTTCATTGCCTAGGTACCTATGTATTCAAATTAGATTTTTCAGGTCATAATACAATAATATTATTTTCCATCCAAAAGTCATATATTCTTATTTGGATTCATAAATATTTTTGCTCTTATAAGAAAATAATTGGTAAGAACTTATGTAATTTTAGAAATAGTATCTTCACAGACTCCACTGATTATACTTGTAACATTATGTGATAGTGGACAACACTTTATAACCTTTGAGCGCTGAAATAGAGTATGAGAATCATGACGCAATCCAGGGGTTGCATTTGTTTTATTTGTCTTCACCCAACATATATCTTCACATCTGCGAAATCCCCACTGGATAAAACAGGTAATGACAGTTAACAATAAAAAATTTCAATTAATACAGAGAATTAAATCACAGAAACCAAAAGGGAAGTACAGAGACGACAAAAGGGGCAATAAATATTGACAAAAAGAGAATATCATAAACGTGACCAGTTTATAAGTAAATAATTTATCTTCTTAGAGATCTCATTACTTACCTTCTTTAGACATTGTCGGCCTTGCTCAAGCCCAACGCCATCACCAACCCAAAGGAAGATGAAAGATGGAGTATCTGCAATTGCCTATAGATAGAGAAAAAATAAAATAAAACAAAATAAAAATGATGAATCAAATGGATCCAATGTAAGAAATGAAAAAATTTATAATGATCAACGAATACACCAGGATGGGGTCCCGGGGATGCATAATTTAACTCAAAAGGGAAATGGTGAAAGAGAGTACAAATTCCAAGTGAGAAATCTAAATTGATGTCAAGTTAGCAACATAGATCACAACCATTACATTTTTTGATGAAAAGAGATAAAAAATAAAGAAACATCGGATCATCAGAAACACATACAATACTACCTCAATCTTGAGATTCATAATTTCTTCAAATGTCCAGTACTCCATATGATCAGTCACACCAGGAGCTCGATGAACGTATTCCTCCCAAGGTGGGTCAACGAGAATGACATCAAACTTGGTCGCAAAGAATTCTGGAGAAAGCACCTGCTCCCGTAGATCACACTTAAAGTACATAGGCGGAGAAGAAGATTTGGCAACAATTTCATCCTTTTTCTGTATAAGCTCCCGAAGCTTTGGATAGTCCTCCACCACACTAGTGAGCTCTAGTTCCCTTATAAAATTCTGGGGACGCATACCAGTGTCAACAAAGTTTTGAGAGTAATCGTTCTGCTCTCCTCTAGAAGGAGCTTTACCATGTGATCCATTAGATCTAGAAGGAACCCAGCCTCCAAAGGCGTTGTCTAGAGGTTGCCCACAAACTGATGGAGCATTAGCATTAAAATTTGGGCCAGACATGCTAGGACTCGTTCCCCTTCCAGGTCCTGATGGATTGAAAAACAAAGCAGGATTTGGTGGATTTCCGATATTTGTGGGAAATCTAGGTCCCAAGGGCCCAGGAGGAACATGTGGGAGACCAGGTGGAACAGCAAGCATATTCATCTCAATACCTCGAGCTCCAGGCCAAACAGGAGGTTGAAATGGTGGAATAAATACGCCTGGAGGAATTGGAGGAACTGGAGCAGGGGACATGTTAGGAGTTAGAGATTGCATAGGTCCAGGAGGTGGTATTCCCAGTGGTCCAAATGGTGATCCAATCAAGGGCATTGGAATACCACCCTGTTGATTCTCTCTCCCTGGAGGCCTACCCCTTCCCCCTCTACCAACTCTACTTCCCCTGACACCTTGAAAAGCGCCTCTACTGAAGGAACCAGGCTCCAGATTTCCAAGTGGGAGTTGTAAGCCACTGCTAGAACTTTGGCCTGAAGCACCATGATTCAACCCAACACCTCTCTGGACTCTAGAATTTTCTGCCTGATAATCCATGTCGTCTCTCCGTGAATCTGGCATTGTAAAGCCACCATCTATATATCTTTCTTTTGAACCTTCACCAGAGGATCCAGATCCAGGTGCGCTTCTTGACTTTTCCGACCTTGAATAACCAAACTCTTCAGCAGCAGGGGCCAATTTAGTGTCAGATTGCACAACCTCACTGCTTCTCACAAACATGGATTCAGACTCCTCTCTTCCATAATCAAACGGCTTGGTCTGGATCTCAATCACATCATAGTTATCATTCGATATCCCATACTTTGATGAGGTTTTCACAGCTTCAGTCCTGCTTCCATCTTTTCTACCACCGGAGCGACCATGAGGCCTTTCACCATCAATCCTCTCACGTCCACGCCTTGAAAATTCCCAATCTCTTCCCTGGCTGTAGGCTACTTCCCCATCTCTTGCATCTTTGCCTTGCGTTCTTTTCCAGTTATCTTTAATATTTTCCCTGTCCCTACTTTTGTCAACCCAACTGTCATCTCTTTCTTTTGATCTATCGTCCCACGAGCTATCTTTACCCTGTTCTTTCCTCCTGATACTAGCACTTCTTTCATAATTCATGTCAAAATTGTCAGATTCATAATTACGCCTTCCACTCCGCTCAGGTTTCCTGGACACATTGGAACTGTCAACATCTTGACTAGTTGGATTTATTGGCAGTCTAGTCTCCTCAAATCTCTCTTTACTTGATCTATCTTCATGCGAAGCACTTATCTCAATGTCCTCCAGAGCTTCAAACTTTCCCCTCTTACTCCTTTCTGAATTGGCTCTTCTCTCCTCTCTCTCCTGAGCCTTAATACCTTTTTCAACAATTGGGTCCAAACCCTTGCATTTGCTATTGCCTGGCTCAATTTTCAGTGTGTCACTTCTCTCTCTGGCACTCTCCAGCTTAGGATCAGAAGACTTCCCACTTCTTACGCCAGATTTTTCTAAATATTCATTATCCTTACAAATTGCATCAGACTCATCCCATCTTCTCTGAGAGTTTCTTCCATGCTCGACAGACCCAGGTCGCTTTTCGCTGCCACTATCCCTTCTATCTGAATATCTAGAATCCCTTTCTTGAGCCTTTTCAACATTAAAATCATGATCTGAGTACTTTGAACTGGATGTCTTTCTGGCTCTTTCATCAGCTCTACTATGTACTTTACTCCCAGATTTGTCCCCGCTCTCACATTTACTCTCTGCTTCTCCATCTTGATACCAACTGCTCATTTTTTCCAAGGCATTGACTTCTATTTTTTTCTTCATCTGCTTAGAGCGCTCCTTTCTAGCTTCATAGTCATCCTGATCGCTGTCAGCTCTGCTCAAACCAGCCACTCTCTTTCGATTCTCATGTCTGTCAGTCGCGCTTCTTTTTCTAGCACTACGATCCAAACCATCAGCATCTTCACTGCTTCCAGGTTTCCTTGACTTGCTTGACCGATGCTTTCTTTTATCAACACCATCCCACTCATCATCATCCCTGACACCATCAATGTTCACCTCTACATCCTCATCTACATCCTGTTTTGCAGAACTCCTTGAGCATTCAGGTGAACCCATTGGCAAAAAAAAAGGACCCTCAAAAAATCAATCTCTTAGCTTTATATAAGCAAAAAATTCGATTTATCCCAAATAATCAGCAGACAAGAAGCATCCTGAGAAATCGTAAGAAAGGAAATTAGAATAGGAAATCATGATCTATACACTTTACACGCTGATGGCACATATGTTATAAAAGGATTTGACATCTGAGAAAAAGTGAGACCTAAAGGCTCTATTAATGCACGTCAGTGCAACAGTTTTAAACAGATGCCAAAAATATATAAGCACATAAAATTCGAAAATTGAGTTCAAGCCACGTTTTTTATGGAGCAGAAACCACAAATAGTAAATTTAGAAGAGAAAACAAAAATATAATCCCCAGACAATTGCAGAGAAGAAAAATAAAACAAAAACCTTTATCTTGTACCTTTTTTCTCTATTTGTTGATGTCAAGCTCTTAAGTGATTTTTTTCAGATTCTGAAATGAACCAATTTCAAAAACATCTCAGTAAAGAAAATATGTTAACCCTAGATACTTTGAGGCCAACGGGAAATAAATAGTATCATCTCTGTCGTGACTATGAAACCAATTTCATCCTTGCGCAAGTAATACTTAACCCAATTTTAAAATTTAAAGGTCAAATCAATACAGGGTAATAATTAACTTAAACTAAGTATTGAAATTAAACTAGAAACATCAGATTCGCAGTGCCAAAAGAGGGCGACGGCGAAAAATTAATGCAAAATTAGACCGACAAAAAATGACAACTAAAACATAAACAAATTAAGCAATGCCAATTTCCAACTCAATCACTTCAATTCAATTAACTTGAAGTAAAAAGTGAAAACAAAATACACAAATTATGCTCCAGTTTTTATTAAGAGAGAAGTCTACTCACAAAAGTGATGAGGCTACAGTGGAGGTTGGCGGAGAGGAGGAATTCCCAGATGGAGTTTTTGAAGTTGCGGAGTCTACAGGGGAGAGGCGAAAGACGGAGGGAGAAATCGGGTTGAGTGATTTGACCCGAATCATTTAGGTTCGTTACCGGAGGTGGTATCGGGTATACGTGATAAAATAATTTTAATTGGTAAAAGTTAGACCAACTTATTATTACCATTACGAATTTTATTAGAGTAATTATATTTACACCATTATTTTTATTTCTTACATTATATTTTATTTATACTTAAAGTTCTTGATTTTTGTTTATTATAACAATATTGTCTCTAACGATTTTTCATATCATTCTTATCCTCACACTTTCTATTAGTTAAAACATTTTTTGTATTTCAGAACAATTTTATGTCCAAATATCCGTTGAAATAGCGTAAAATAATTTATTTTTCCATTTTAAAAAATAAATAAATAAAAAGTGATAAAATTATCTTTCCCTCATTTCAAAGCATGAAAATAAAATGTTTTGACATAAATCATCATCAAATACTGGAAGTGTTAATTAATGAAAACTTGAAGATGAGAATTCGACCAAAAAAAATTAAGAAAATAATTGCTATAATAAGCAAATATTAGGGGATTTAACTATAATTGAATGTGGTACATCAAATAAAATTTGTGTTGTTAATACTTAATATAATCACCTATTTTATTAAGTCCATTACAATTTTCTTATTTACTTAAATATTCTTAAATAAAATTACATAATTAGGTTTTTAATATACTTTTTAATTAAATAAATTAATGTTACACCACAAATATAAAACATAATTAATTTATTTCTTTTTCCTCAATATCTTATTGCCATAGCTTTTCCATCTACTTTCGCTTTCTTCCATGGTGGCAAGATAATTTTATTTTCTTCACGATAAATGAATTTGTACTCTATTTAAACATGATTTACTGATGAATTTTTTTAGTTTATTTGTCAAGTTTGAAAATTAAGAGTTTGATCTTTTTGTTAATTTGAGCAAATTTAGTATGAATTTAAAACAATCAAAAGCATGCAAGTCTATTATCTTCAATTTGTTGTGAATTTAATACAATTGTTTTCAACTTATTATTAAGTATGCTTCGTATAAATTTATTATGAATTACTTGTATTTAAGTATGATTCTTTATAGTTTTTAAGTGTGAATAGATTTATATATAATGTTTTTCACGTTTGTCAAATTGCATGCAAGATAATGATTTTTAAATGTTAAATGAGTTTATGAATTTGCGTGTATATACCCATCATTTTATTAAAACATGGGCTCACTTTTTCATATGCAAAATCCCTACATTGAATGGCTTGAAAGAATATCCCAGGAACTCTTTTGAGTTCATTGGATTTGCTTTGACTGCTCCCTCGAGGTTGTTACCATCTTTCTCCAATTACACCTCGTTCAATTGTTGGGAATTTACATAAACATGCATAGTGGAAAATAAAATAAATTTCAATTCCCACCAAGAATTTCTTTGTATTTAGATAGAAACTGTGATAGAAATTGTACCTTTTACAAAATCTGCAAATTCATTTGCTATTCTTTCGTTCCAACAATCTTAATTCACCATCTACAACTGTCTAATTGTTCAGTCTCTAATAAAAATACACACAAAGAACAAGATTATAGGAACCAAGATTTTTTCCTCTTGTGCTAACAAGAATGAAAAATCTCTACAAATTGAAAACCATAATCACTTATTTATATAAATCCAAACGGGCTTGGTCTGACGTGGTCCAATATTTAATTAACTCATTTAATTAAATTCGGCTCGTAAATTAATTAATCTAATTCGGACTTATAAATAAGCAATCCAATTAATTAATTTAATAATTTATCCAACACTTGTTTAATTAATTAATTGACAAATCTCAATCTTCCAGTTCTCATTTTGTGTACGGCCCATCAGGTTTCCGATCACGATACCTAACATTGTGAATTATTATTTTGATCTAATCAAAATCAATAAATTAAAGTACCCTTTTAATTTATCATCAATTCACATTCGCATCCTAGATTGACATTTAACAATGTGTCGGGGTAATACATGTGACGAAAAAGTCATGTGGTATGACAAAATCAAACTCGTTCGTTTACCGTAAAACTATAATCCCTTTGTCAATATAATCCGATCAATTACGAGATATGAAAGTGTGTCAATCTTGATTATTGATCATCTATTAAGTCAATATAAGTCGAAAACTCCTTTTCAACCTCTGAGTACACCATGACCAAGGATTTCATTATCGATTTAATTGAAAGAAATATGGATTATAATCTCTTATGTAAGAGTGACGAATTCTCTATTGGTCATTCACAACCTTCATACAATTATTGATATACCCAAATAATGCCGTATTAGCAGCTCTTGGCAGAGCAACATCCAACATCGTCAAAACACGACTGTCCTCATATAAAGCACTATGATGATCTTAAGTCAAAGGACCAATTCCACTACCAAATGTTAGAGATTAACCACCGACACTTAGATAGTTATCCATGTGATATCTCTCAATGGGTCTCCAATGTTTTGTTCTATAACAAAATATCCACATGTTCATTCAAGTGTCACCACACTTTAACTTGTGAGATCAACTACTTACTTCACAAGTAAGAAATATCACTCGTGATAGTCTATCTGTAATAACGATCTCCATACTCGTCATCACTTACCCCACGGATGATTTAAGATTCAATTATATGTAATTTATATCTCACAATCAGAACTCTTTGCGATTAACAAACATTAAGATTTGAATATATGGACTTCATTATTTAATTCAATTGAATATTAATTAATTATATAATAGATCTGTCATAAATCACATCAACTATTTATTAAAAGTGTTTATATGCAAAGTCGATTGGATCTAGGACATAACACTTACAGCAGCAGTTCATAAAAAACTTAAAGAAGACAAACTTGGAAGGACCAAGAACCTATTTTTGGAAAAACGGTGTAGCAATAGGATGAAGGAAGGGAGATTTTTCAGAGATTTTGCCCGTATGAATATGGCCTTATGTTCTTCCCCGATCTTCCGTTTCCAATGACTATGAAATAATATGGAAAAAGGTTGAGAAAATGAGGATTGATAATGGTGATATGTACACCACAATTTGTATTTTTTTTTTCAATTTTTTATTTCCATTGAATTATAAGTATAATTGAAATTTTATTGTAGTGTATTTATTAAAAATATATTTTACTTGTGTTGTGATTATAATGCACTGTAGTAATTAAAATTTGTAGTGGTTATCTCTTTTTTTGCTTGTTATGATTGGGATACAATATCTTTACGAAACATATATTCGGCCTCTGTTGGTGTAGATAAAACTAATTTTTTAATAAAAAAATTTATCAAAATTTACGAAATGTTTAATAGAAAAGTTCTGATCCCATGAAATGGGAAATTAAAATTAATTATTAATTTTGACTTAAATTTTAATCAATTATTTAAGTTACACCAAATAAAAAAAATAGATATTATTAATTTATATAATATTTAAATTAATATAAACTATTTGATGAAATTATTTGTAATCATGCCCATGGATCATGATGTCTAAAGTGGAAATTATAATCATACATATTTTTTTCAATTTGTCATTTCAACAAGCATGCACAATGTTTTTTCTTTAAAAAATAAGGTGTACACCATCTTCCACCTACCTGCCACAAACCCCAATTTATTTTTCGATCCATTCCTTAAGTTACAATCACACCCACACTACTACAATTGACATACGTCATCACTGCCTATTGCCACAACACTGACTGTCACCACCACCATTTCCCACATGTAAGTAGCACCCCGACATTGTCGTTCGAGCGACGCTATTTTGCACCAGTGCCTGAAGGTGTGCCTAGGATGGCGCACTGCCTACGGCCAGACAAGAAGGTAAAATGGGAGAATTGGGGTTAGGATGAAGATTTGTTGTTTGAGGCCTCAAGCACAATTTGTGAAATTGCATACCACTGCTTGCAGTTTCAGATCAGGGTCAGTTTGCAAATGGTGGTTGGTGGCGGTGGTAGTGGTAGAGTGGAATGAAGATCTTTTGTGATTAACTATTTGCGTGGTTGTGATCAACAAAATAAATAATTTGTGACAGTAAATAATATGTGATCGATAAAATCGGTAATTTGTGACCAATTAATAATATGTGACTAATAAAATTGTGTGATTGTGATTAAATCTTGTGCGATTCGTGATTGACCATAATCGTGTGTTATTTGTAATTTGTGACCTGTTTTTATGACATTGACCAGGCATCAAATGGTCACAAATGTGATCACCTATCTTTGAAACTTTTTCACAAGTTTCTTATTTTCAAACTTTGTCTTGAAATCTTTGTAACTATGTATTCTTTCCGTGTTTAAACAATTTTGAATAACTGATCCAATAACATGGATTACGTGTTTTAGCATTTTGACCAAAAGCGCAATTAACCCAACAAGGGCTACCAAAGGATAAATACTAGTTGGTCAAACATAATCAATAGCTAGACAATATCAGCAACTGACTATAAGCTAAAAGTGCCAGCAATTAAAGACAACCACGTCCAAGCTTAAAAACAACTATAAACGGCCCCACATAACAATAAGGGAACAATACACATTTAGTGTGGTTAAAAGATACAATTTTAAAATTAATTAACATATTTTAAAATAGGGGTTGATGTAGTTCCATTTAATTATGTTTCTAAGAGAATCGAAAAGAACCATGAACAAATGATTTTTTTGATAATGAAACCAATGATTTATTTTATTTTAAGATATAGAACCAAATCGAAACTAAACTGTTGAATTCTAATTTAGTTTGGTTGAATTTGGTTCTGATTCCATTACTTAAAATTTCAAATGATAAATGCAAATTAAAATATATCACCATATCCATAAGTTAGTAACATATGCATAAATCAAAAAATAAGCAACTAACATTCAGCAAACTCAATTTCAAATTATCAATCATCAAATGAAATATTGTGTAATAAAATTCATTTACAAAAGTTCAAACTAACAAACAAATATAGTCATAATTTAAATACACAAACATCAAGTTTCATACATATACAAAATATTGTCTA